AATATAGCGATAAATATCCATGTTATTATATACGTTTTTTTAATTTTATAAGAATTAGAACAGATTATAGAAAAACAAAAACAAAAATAAATAAAAGTTTTTTATTAACAAATTCCCTTGCTCCCCCCCCCCCCCTTGAGCTACAACAATTAAAACACACAAAATACCCTTCATATTTTTCTCTTCTCCATGATATCCGCGCTTCATAAAGTTGATGACGTGAATTATTTTTTCCTTACCCTCTTTCCCCCACCCACTCCAGTTGCCCCGAGCCAAAACCAATCTTTCCAGAGATGAATAGTTAAAGGATAAGGAGGGAAGTTGTGAGAGTCAGAACAAGGGCCTGAAAATGTGACCATATTCGTACAGGCACCGCCCTGAAAGTACTCCGCGCCCGCGCTCGCAGAAAAACCACGAAAAAGACAAACGCTTCAACGCCGGGCAAAGCAGCACATGATACCGGTCCTGCCGAGGAACCAACAGAAACCGATGAAACGGACGATGGACAGACCGGCAGTAGCGAACAGGAGGAACTTGAAAAACCAGGCGGTTCTGGCGGTGGCATTCCGCTGTCACCAAAGTTAGCATTTTGGAATCTCATTATCAACAGGACAAAAGACTGTAAACATACCCCAGCGCCAAAAGACGAGTCAAAGTTCTCGCTGGTAATAACCACAGCCAAGAAACAGTTCGAAAATAGCCACATCACCACCAGACTCGTTCTGAAAGACTTGTAAGAGTCCTCCAGCTCCTTGGTTTCGGGCGCCTCTTCCACCTTGTACGGCGCAAGAGCTCTCCTGACAGTCTGCTCAAACATCTGATCGATATCTTCCTGCGGCTTCTCGATCTCTTCAACCAACACTTCGTCCTTCTCGCCCTTGGTGACCTGGGCCGACGGCAGCGCGTCGTTCTTGTCTGAACCCTTGGTACCCCACGACACATCGTGCCAGTTGTTGAAGGCATACACCATCAGAATGTTGATGTAGGTTGACATGAGCAGCATGTAGTAGGGGAACGAGTGGAACATGTGCCAGGGATCGAGGTACATGAAGGATGCCAAGAAGTAAAGACCGTAAATGGTAATCAGGGCCACGAGAATGACACCAGCCGCCCCCGTACCACCAAACAAGGACTCCATCGCGTTAGACGCATTGTCCAGTTTGATCTGGTCCGCAAGCGGAATCTTGAAAGCCTGAACGACGAGATAAACCGAGAGGATGATGATGTAGGCCTGGATCATGGCAAAGAGCACGTAAGACGTAATGTACGTCCACTTGGAACCCTTTGGCCTGTTACCCAGAGCCAGAATAAACTGCAGAATGACGAATGCCAGGTAGAGATACTGTAAAACCGCGTTGAATATAGGTGTGACGGTATCGCCAAATGGCCAAGCGTGGTGGAGCGCCGATGTGTTAGATGCAGGCACTGGAGTACCGACGAGATCCATGATGACGGTGGTCGTGAGATAGTACGAAGAGAGCGAGAACCAGGTGAAGATGACGTTGAGGACGTTGTAGATGAGCTGAATGTGGAAGAAGAACATGCGGACAATGTTGTGGCCAGACTTGTACATGCGTCCGAAATGCATCAACGAGTACAAACTGGCAGCGAAGGAACCGTTGAGCCAGCGACGACGCTGCGAGATGAATTCGGGAGCACCTTCAGGCACATCCGTCTCCCCCTTGGCCGCCTTGATGTAGCTCAGATGCCACTTTTGGCCAGCCTTGGCGACCAGCTCGAAACACAAGATACGATCTTCGGCCAAGAACATGTTCTTTTTGAAGATGTTCATGCCCTCGATACCCTTCTTGCCGAGCTGCTTGGACAGGGTGTGATCACCGTGGAAGTACTGTTCTAAAGGTCGGCCCATGATGGCTCTGAAGCGGTAGGCCGAGAAAGCACCTGGCAGCACACTGACGTAACCGAACGCAGATTCGAGGGGCTTGTCCAGAATGTTGGAAATCTTGTACTCGAAGTTCTGGACAGCGACCAGAGGGTTGAGTAGCTTCTTTCCGCCCTTGCCTACAAGCGATGGTTAGCTATTCATCATGGGAAATGCATACGTAAAATTGATAAGACCCACCTAACATTGCGTGAATCTCACCGCAGGCACCGCCAAGATCCTTGTCGTTGTAGAAGCCCTCCCAGAGAGCGAGCAACGACTTGGGACTGGGCTTGGTACCAGCATCAAGCAAGATGCACACCTCTGGGTTCAAGATGCGACCAAAGGCGTTGAAAAGCCAGCGATGCGAGTTAATCTTTTTGCTGTTTTGCTGCTTCAGGCAGAAGATGAACTGCACTGGTGGAAGGGTAGCCGGGCTGTCGTCCGTTGGCCGGATGAGCTGCTGGTTTGGCGTGACGGAGAGCTGGGTGGTGTACTCGAAGATGTGGGCAACGGTATTGTTTCCGTCAACATCCTTCTTCACCACACCATCCTGGTATACACCGATAGTGGCAAGCACGTCAAGAACGTTCTTGTCGACCTTCTCGATACCATCGAAAACCAAGCAGACTACAATCTTTTGCCAGGCAGGGCCACCCCGGTTCCAGAACGACGACTTCTTCAGGTTCACTATGTCCCTGATATTCTGCATGACGCCGTGGAGTGTTCTCGAGAGGAGAACCTTGTCTTCGTTGTAGTAGGTAATGGCAATAAGGAGCTCGGTGTGCCGGTTGTACATGCGAGGGCGCAAATCGTAACCATTCTTGAGAGTGAAGTCGTTGGGATCGCAAGTGGCCGCAGTGTAGCGCATCTTGAAAAACTCCTCATTCTGGCCCTCGACGTCTCTGTACTTGGGCTGAACAGCATTTCTGATGGCACTGGGCACGGGGTAGTCGATGCTCAGAACGGAACCCTGAACGAGCTTGACCTTTCTGGTAGCATAGCGCTTCAGGCCACCAGCTGGGGCAGCGTTGGGATTTTGGCGTTGAATCCAGCTATCATCGGTCTCGGCGACAGAGTGCCCAGAGTTTCCATATTGTTGATCGCCGAATCCACCATTGGCCGACACTCCGTACTGGGGGGCACCGGCATACTCATTGGTGTATCCGTGGGGAGGGGGAGTGGGCTGAACACCGATGCCAGCCCGCGTAGTGCCGGCATTGGGTGTGTACGACTCGGTCAAGCTGTATGCCGAGACTGGACGAACTGGAGGAGTTCCGGCGCCCAAACGACTGTTGTCGTAGGCCTGGTTGTCGTTGAGGAGAGAGGCCTGGACTTCATCGTCGTTCTGCCAATTCATTCAGATATTAGCAACAAAGCACCCCGCCTGCCATCCTCCACAGTATGGTTTGGTGGCTTACCTGTCCATGGGGACCGCCGAGGTTCTGCAACGGGTGGTCTTCATAGCCGTCTCCACGGCCACCAGCGCCGTGGTACGCCATGATGGAGTCGCGGCTCGCTTTTGCGAGAAATAGCTGAAATCAAGATTCCCTCAAAGATTGGAATATTCTGGGTATTTTGCAAGATTCTCAAAGGTCGCTGGATCGTCGGGGGGGACTGTTCGTAGGGGATCGCGATGTTAGGTCGAGGTTGTTTGGTTGTTGGTTGTCAGGTCGGTCAAAGAAAAAGAGACGGTGAAGCTTGGCGCAGTTGCAGTGCGAAACGTCAGCTGCCGTTACGAGTCGTTCTGATACCCAATTCCAGGGCACGGCAGGAAGGGGAAGCGCCGGTGACCGAGTGGCACAGGACAAGACAATGTTTTCGCTGTTTGCTGCTCAGCTGGTGGCAGCAACAGCAGTGATATTCTAGGAATCGTCTCCAGAGAGGAGAAAAGAGAAAGGAAAAAAAAATACAAATGTCAAGAGAGAGGTCTCAAAAACCTGATTCAACAGCTCTCAGGAGACGGCGGCCCTGTTATGAAGTTGGTGAAGGGGGCCTGTGGCTGAGCGACAGGGATGGGCGAGGGTGCTCCACCGCCTTCTTTGCTAGCCAGGGATGGCTGCGACTGCGAGCTGCTCACTGGTGACTGGCTCGCTTTCGACCCGTTCCAGTTCCAGGTTCATCAGTTGCCCACCGCCCACAGCCCGCCCACACGAACGAACGCTGGAAGAGACCGACGTCAGTGCTGTCGTCGCCGTCTTTCTCTTCTGCCAGGCGGCCCCCTGAGTGCCAAGCAGCTGTCACCTTGTCCCGGCACTCACATCTCGTTTGCCATCTCAGGAGTGTTTCATGGCCCAAGGAACATTGTTGCGAGGCAGGTTCACCTTCTTCTTTTCTTTGAGCCTATTGAAGACCCTAGGAACATGACAGCTTCTGTGTACATACCCATCTGCAACTACTTGGTAGTTGCATTCATCATTTTGAGTTTCCACGGCGACTGGGCAGTGAGTGCTCCAGTTTGGGGAGCGTTCTTCGCACAGTCTGGACCGCAGCCGCGGGTACTGTGCGTTGGTGCCGTTTAACTCCAGATCGCCAAACCAGCCAGCATGGCCTAGCCTTCCATTTTCAGGGTCTTCGTTTCTTCCTCAGCACTGGGGTCTGTTCATTGTGAGGTATCACGGCCTCATTGTCATTTTATCGAGCATTCGTGATATCCAATACAGTTGATCGATCAAAGCATCTGTTCCTTGATAAGAATCGAGCGTGTCGAGCTTGTTTTGTTCCTATGGGTACTCATCCCCTGAGGCCTGAAACAGCTCACCCGCTCAGCGAATGCATGACGTCCATCATGCCCTCCACAACGCCCATCCTTTCTGATCTCGTCAGTCTGGAACGTCTTCGGACTGGCACCAACTGGCACACGGTATTCCCAGTTGCAAACACGTATATCTGGACAAAATAATAGACCGAGGAAAGCTTTCAGATAGCTGTCAATTCCCGCTTTCTCGTCCAGAACGTTTGAGGTAAAAAAAGGGTTCAGTCTTCCAAACGGTTTCTCTTGGCAATCGACGCGGCTGCAACATCAGGGGGCCGCTGGGGTCCAACTTTATTTGGGATTACAGAGGGACAAACGGAATATTGAAATCTCTCCTCTCCTTTTTTTGCTGTTGCTTTTCTCTCGCACGACATCACGGAAACCCACGTCTCGCCGCTTGCCACGCGTTGCACAAGATAGGAAACTTTCTCTCACGAGCAAGCAGCATGCCCTCCGTATGTGCCTACCATACGGAGGATATCTAGCATCCACCAACACGAACTGAGGTTGCCACATGCCTGTGGTTGTCTTTGGGTTGTTTTTTTTTCGATCTCACACAGATCACGGATCTCCATGATGGGGACAAAAAAAATCGACTTGGGGCCAAAAATAGAACACTTGGGATCCGTAAAGAAAAAAATCGGGCCGGCAAAGAGGGTCTCAGATGTACGGAACCCTACCGGAGCCCAGATCATTCCTTCAAAGAAATATCGTCGAATGCCAACCGCCAGTCATAAAACGGAGACTTTTTGACGCAACAAGCATTCCGTATCCAGTTGTTGTTGTTGGGTGGTGGCGTGCTTGCGTAGTGAGGCTGAGCTGGCGCTACTGCTGCCCGTCAAGCGCAAGATGGAGGTGCCGGCTGCTCGGATCCCGCCCAGCCTCGTTCAGAAACGTTTTTGGACGACAAAGATTCGCTGGGTTCCCTCGCCATGATTACACGAGCTGTGCATTCTTTGCGAACGATGATTTCTCTCTCGGGCTCCCAGCGGCCGTGGGAATGGCATCAGCCCACTCATCTGGTGTCGTCCGGTCTGGTCTCTGCCGCTGGTGACCCTATCTCCCGTTCTCACTGAAGCGGCCGGTGGGAGTGACATCCCGTCGGATCTCTCACTGCAATGATGGCCTCGAAGGCCATTGTTATTTTGTTTCGACATTTTATTTCAATCTCTCTCGCTTCAGCTCTGTCAGAGGTTGCATTCGTCGAGGCTCGTCTCACAAGATCTTATAAGCGCCTTCGAGTCCGAGGGGGATGCACAGAATCTCTCTGTCGAATGATGTTGTTGTGCAAGCGCTCACCGACCAACAGAACACTGCCATGCACTGCAAACTCCGGACATGATTGCTGCGTTGTCAGTCATCCTTCTACCAACATTCACAGGGAAATCCTTTTCCATGTGGTGAGGTTCAGTTTGGGTCTGTCAGCCAACCCAATCATACATATAGATGCCTGACTGCGGTTCGCAAGGCTTAAGCCATTCCCGCTGAAGGGTTCAGGGTCCAAAGGTCTCTCAAGCCACAGTCTGGTCTTCAAAAGCCTTACAATTGCACCGTATTAGTTCACGGTCTGAGCCGTCAGGGGAGCTTTCGGATGGTAGCAAGTGCTTCGGTGCTCAGCACAGGTGATGATCCGAGTGGTGCTGCTAAGGCTCAGTCTATCCTATAGGTCCGGTCGATCACCGAGCATTTGTAATTCGGCTGCGCCATGTCTGTCACCTCATCCCAACGCTCGACATATGCGCCGTCAACGCTACCGGTTGGCCCTGACTCTCGGATTGCTCCGGTCACGATAGGTCCGTGAACTTGGACTCGACACTGTCGAACCTAATCTTTGACGGGAATTCAAACTGCGGCTCTCTGCAACCCTGGAGTTGAGGTGAGCTGTGGCTCGAAGACGCTCAACGATGACTGACATGCATCCGCACTATCAGACAAGACATCACCTTGCTCGCCACCGCCAGGGAAACAGACAGTCAGCTTTATATCAACTGCATTCCAAGCCAGCAGCACATCTAGATTTCTAGATTTCCCCAGATTCGCGTTTAGCCTAAAATCCACATCGACGATATACGTCAGGTTTCGTGTACAGACCAACTGACCACTCGGGAAATGTAAATGCAGCGTAACATCACCCACCCGGTTCCCTTTCCGACGATATAGTGCTCCCTTCCCTGTTTTTTTCACCCGCAGCGGTAGAACTATGCAGGAAGACGAGAATGGGAAGCACTATATCTCTGAAAATCTCATGCGGGTTACTATGGGGGATATGAAATACGAAAGATGACAGTTGGGGTCTGGACTTGTTGTAGTGATGATGACAATATGGACTCGTTTCGGGAATAACGACATGTTGTTAAGAGTTGATGTCAGGATATCATTCCAAAACAACAGCTCCCATGCATGAAAGGATACCCAGCCATGAAGGTTTGAGGTCTCCAACTCCTCAAACCTCAACATAGGATATCCCCGTCTCCCCATCTCGTGTCAAGTCTCTCAAGCCACCATGCCCGGGATCGGATATCCACATATACCCATCAGAAACAAAAACAACCCGAAACACCCTCACGGGTTTCTTGGGGACTGGGACCACCGGGATTTGCCCGGTACATTATCCCGAGACTATGCTTTCTATAGCTCCCGCACATAACATTGCTTGTTCGGCTCGTGAGGTTTTGCAGCTGAGTAATATACACCCGAGACATACAAAGCTGGAAAAATATGGCACGGCTATGGTAGTGTAATGACGGTGGTTGGTTGCCCGTTGTTGGAACTTGCTCAATTGGTGTTGGACCTTCCATGGTAAGGTCAGCAATAACAGCACCACACCACCACCGCAGGTCTGCAGGAACTATTTGATGGGTGTTGTTAAGAAAAGAAACTGTGGCTTGGCGGTAGGAAGGGGGGTTGTCCAATCAGCGACGACTTCAAGTTGAGTCTAGAAATCTAGATAGGACATCTTCTTGATCATTTCCCCCGAAGTCGTCGTCAAACGCGGGGTCGGAAATCCATAAATTGATGCAAATTCAGAATTGATCTGCAACCCATGCATTCGTATGTATGGCTTCGGGATTTCGAAAAAGGCGTTGAAACCTCTGGCCTGGGCGTGGTCCGTGATTGGGTGGAAGGGATTTACATTGGAGCATGCCTTGGCAATGGTGGGCTGGGCTGAGTGGGACCTACCGAGCGATTGTTGTCGCGGGGAAATCCTCTTTGGGAAGGCGAGAGGTATAAGCGAATTTCATGCCACGTTTGAGCTGTGGCAAGAAGAGCCGATATGCTCCATCAGTGAGGCAATTGATTGCGATGTTGTTGATAGAGATGAAAAGAGAGAGGATGATGATGATGTGAAAAGCTCATCAATGTTCTGGAAAGGTACCAAAAAGAAACATGGAAGTGTGCTCCCGTAATGCTAATGCCGTGCCACAAGAGGGAATCCAGGGGCCAGGCCAGGCGTGGTTGATCGAGCGAATGGGGCGTTGGTGTCGCCCTCCAGGACGTTTTCGCTAAACCGCTGCGGGGCGCCTGAGTGTGGCTCTGCCCTCCTGACTGGCCCCTTGGCCAAATTGAGGGAGGAACCAGGTCCAAGTTCCAGGTCCTTCAGCCAAATCCTCCACCCTTCCCGCCTTCCGCCTTCTTGCCTCGCAGCGAGGTTCCTGGCGTCCCATCTTCAACATCAACCACGCGCCCTGTTGCTGTTGTTCTTGTTGTTATCACTGTCAAGAAACTCTGTATTCATTATTTCAATTCGTTCTATTTTATCAAACCAAATGTGTTCCGTTCTTTACTGAGCTAGTCTCAATCGTCACTCGTTTCAACTCATCATCCTGTCCTCTCTGCTTGCGCCCGCCGCCGAGTGCGAAACCCGACCGACGACGCAAACCATCCCCTTATACCCTTTCGATTTTCTTCATCTGATACGATAAGCTCTCGGGTCACAAACGAACAATTCACGCGCGTGGAATAGATAAACGTTGAGCAAGTGGTCCAGGCTTGGCCCGTTACACATCCTCGAGATCGGCACAGCGTAACGAACAGGTCACCCAAACACCAAACAGCATCGCCCTTTTTATATATTCCTCACCCCGCCTCACGAACGTCTCAGGTTTCTTGCTCACCATGGCCGACATGTTCGATTCACATGGCACGGCCGCCATGTCCTTCTCGACGCTATGGAAGCGCCAGGAAGTCTGTGTTCAGTGCAACAAGGGACAACAACCCGTCTGCCCAGAGAATTGCGACCAGACGACACATGAATGCATCATGATCCCCGAGACATGCAAGCAATGTGCTCATATGATCTGCCAGCCTCTCGACCCAGCCATGCTCCCTCCCAGACCCTCGCAACCGTCGACCAATGTCGGTGCCATCGCTGGTGGAGTGATTGGTGGTATCGCGGCCGTCGTCATTCTCTCGTACTTGGTATGGAGGTTTTGCGTGAAGTCTAGGAGGCAGCAGCAACCAGTTGCCCAGGAGGTCTGGGAAGATTCAGCTGAGCATATGGATGGGGAGAAGAACTTTGCTCAACGCCGGGATTATCGCGCCTCCACCCATACTGTTCACTCGATTGCCTCCACCGTTCTTACCCGCGCTTCGAACATCATCCAGATCGCCTATATTCCCGGGGTTACCAACAGAGCCACAGCCTCTCCCACAGTGTTGGTTCCTCCCGTTCCGCCAATTCCTGCCAGTCACTCGCAGGCCGGCACTCCATCGAGCACAGAAGATCAGCATTTCTTCATCCCGGGTGACTTGCGTGATTCGACTTACTCTGGCATCTCCTCTTACACTGATCGTACTTCCTACGCCCGGACCTCGTACGCCCCGCGCTCCAGCGTGGCGTCCACCATCTATGGAAAGAGCGCCGTTGTTGTGGCTCCCGCGCAGACGGGTATGCGAGCGAAGCCGGCCATGGTTAGTGTCCGGTCGGCCAACTCCAACAACTCTAGCGGCACCGCCACTCCCCCAGTTCCCACTGTAGACTACGAGAAGTACTCTTCTCTCCGGCCGCCAAGTCCCGCCAACAGCACTTTCAGCGTTGGGTCTACCTTCTTGAACAATGCCAGCACCCACACAGCCACGCCGGCTAGGGCTATGGTTGTTCGGGTTGGAAGCATCAAGAAGTTGAACGGCAACAGCACCAGCAGCAAAGCGAGATCAGAGCAGGATACCCTCTCTTCCCCTATCACCGTCTCGGGCGATACCTATAGAGACTCCACCGCCGCTACCATCATTGTTGACTCGCCACAAACGAACGATCTCGGACCGTTTTCTGACCCACCGAAGCCGTCTCACAACAGCAGCATCAGTAGTAACAACCTCAGTGCTGTCATCGAGGAGGCGACACGACGGGCGTCTCAAAGAGACTCTTCTGTACCAGTCAAGAACCGGGAAAGGAGTCCGTTCGGCGATGAGCATGCCGCACCATGAGGTGTTTTTTGGATGGCCTTTTTCTTTTGATGTGTTCTTGACTTTTTTGAACTGACGATATCCTGGTTTATTTGGGGAGCAACTTTACTCTACTTCTTTGTGATCTACTTTTTCGGATGAAACGGTCGTGGAAATTTTTATATTTTCTTATGTTTTGGATTTCTTGATATATCAGACCCCTCTTGAAAATGAGGGCAAGAACAGATAAGAAGCGGGCGTTAAAATGGGTTTTTTTTGTGTATCTTCTTTGGGTGGAGGGGAATGACCGGCCTGCGGTGAAGCGGGTGTATGAAGCTTGAGAGTGTATTGGATTCTTTTGGCGGAGAGTTTGAAGGGGGTTTTATGAGATGGTAGTAGGAACAGGTTCCAATACATGAGTTGTGGGCTTGACTTTGTGTTGCTGTGACTGGACTTGTGTTGATGTGTTGTTGAAGTGAATGGAATGCCCCTGAACCCCTTAATCCAGCGTTCATGCTCTGCTTGAGTTGACTTGATCACCTTCAACACATTGGCCCCCATAACAGGTGCTGTTCATCATTGGCCCTACTGGCTATTTTCCATCAAGGAATTCACATCGTGGACAGCATAATTGGAGACTGCTACTCGGAGTCAACAGGTCTTTGAATATCTATTGAGAGGTCTTTGAAGATGGTCGAAAGACATTGAAGAGTAATCTCGACATAGTCTCAAGGCCTTGCTATCAGAATGCTGGTGGGCCATGTATAGAAGTTATGTTGGTGAATCATGGATGAGGGAAAACAGCTCTCTATTTGGGTGTCTTTAAGATTTCCTTGGGGCATCCAAGTTGGCGGTTGACTCAGCTCCCCAAATCTAGCAAGGTCTCGCTTCATGTATTCCCACTTCACAACCGAATTGCTTCATCGTCTGAGAGCTGGCAGGACGCTTCAGTCTGTCATCCCCTTCTTTCACGCTCAAGATTTCCCCGAAAGGGACGGTCAAAAACCCTCCAGATGTGGTACATAACGCGAGGCTGCCTGCGCCTGGTTCCTACGGGCTCTTTGAGGCCTTGCTGTCAAAACAGCAATTCTGCCCGCCGTTTGGAAGGATGAAGGCGGGATTGGTTGGGGTGGTGTATGGAGGAGTATCTCCCTCTTTGATGCTAAAATGATTCCCAAAGAAATAGGAGGGCCAGTTGGGCATAGCTTTTTAGTGATGCAAGATATCTGCCGAGATCCAAATTCTAAATAGCGACAACCTCAGCCTCGAAGCTCTGAATGACAAACTACCTACCTTGCATAAGTGGTGACACAAACAAGCCTTCTCGGGAAGGCCGTTGTGAAAATCCCTTCTTGTTAGCTATCAAAGCTTTGTTCATAGAAACAACAAGAAAAACCTTGGAATCGTGCTCCGAGGATACAGATAAACCTAGGTACATGACGAGGCTGTGAAATCTCAAGGGAACTCGTCGTCGCCGACTTTCCATTTCTGAGAATCTCTAAATCGGGTGTCTCCCCCCTATATACGGTCTCTGTAATAACTGGACTCAATCTCTGCCTATACTTTGGGTAGAGATCATATATTAACCCTTGGTTCATCATTATGGCGACATTTTTCTCCCTACGTGTCTACTTAAACAAGAGAGCGCCTTTTAGGTCACATAATCTTGAGTTTTACAGTGAGCACCAATTTTCAGGTGCGGTTGGAGTCTTTGCAATTGTATTGGGAGGGACTGTAAAGAGTTGCACCAACAAGACGGATGATACAAGAAAGACAGGCTCTTCGTCTATCAGGAACCATACATTTCTCCAAGACTCGTGCCAAGACAGTTACTGTCCATTCTCAGTCTTGAGGGAACCTACGCTTTCCTTTCCTAGGGGAAGAGTAGCAAAGCAATAGCTTCGGTAGATGGCGTCATCCATGGCAGCGCTCTTGACAGGCGTAGATATATTATCGTCTCCTTCTGCTCAACCCTCCCTTCAATTTTTCCAAGCCACCATCGCCAAATGAGAAAAACAGGCAGATCTTGATTTTTTCCCTCTCCACCCTTTGTGAAAAAATTGCGAAGGTTCTTGCCGATTGATACAGTACAAGACAGCCGGGAAGCAGCGCCCGCGCACGTTCAAAACCCACGACCTGCTAAAGATGATCCCAATGCGTGGAAGTAAGGTAGGCATGATGTAGGACCTCGATGACGGATGAGTGATTGAACATTTCTTCAGAGCGTGTGATGCTGTCTTGGGTTTGTGCCTTTATAGCTGGGACTATTCAGGGATATTTGTAAAGCACAAGAAGAAAGGTGCCGAGTCTAGTTGGATAAAATAGTGTAAGGGTCCCTGAGATAGCACCAGTCGTTGTCCACGATAACCGAGATACAATCCATCTTCACGAATGAAGTGTAAAGTCAGAACCCAAGTATTATCCATCTATCCAATGTCATATGACAGTCTTTTGCCTCAACTCCAAATATTTTAATCAACAACTACCAAAGTCTCGTCGTCTTCTTTTAACAAGACTCAATTCGACATATCCTTCTCTCCAGTAAATGAAGGACTGTCCAAAGTCCATAAACCCGTCCCCCCGAACTAAAACTTCCACTAACAACATCACGTTGAACCAATATCAAGCCCCCGTCCTCCAACACACACACACACACACCCACAGAAAATTCCAACAAATTATCCACGATGTCCCCCTAAATCCGCTTACCTCCCACTTCCCTATCATCATCTCAACCAGAGCAGCGCGTGCAGCCACACAGCCCGCCCATAACGACGGGCATCTATAACCACATCGCAAGCCGAACAACAATCCCAAGAAAGGTTGCGATGGAAAGAGCCAGGCAGCCTCGCAAGCGAGCACCAGAGGACAACAAGTCCGAAGTTCTCATCCACTATCAACATCGCCCCATCACTGCTGATCACAGAAAACCCAGCCCCGCCCTTAGTGCGTGAGGAAGGTGGACTCGAAGCCAGAAGACCCGTATATACCAGGCCTGTGCTTGCCTTGTGTTATCGCCCGCTGCGACAAGCATGACGGGACATGCTGGGTACGCACGCGGCGGGTTTGAACGACAATATTTGATGGTAGGTACGTCGATCCTCTTCTTCTGGAGATATGAAACGTTCACAGCGTCCCGCTTTATTGTGGAGGCTGTATACGAAGGTAGATATTGCAAAAGTAGTAGGGTGAGAAGAGCCAAGTCAGAAAATAAGCTCTGTTGAATCAAAAGACAGGTCTTTGACGTATGCAGTCTAGAGACAGATATCATGTACTACGTCCAGGACAATTTGAGATTTGTGATTTGACGAGAGCTTTTGGGACTGTAACAGGAGGGGACTGGTCTTGTGTCTGTCGGCTAAAACGGAGTGTTTGTTGACTTTTTGAGGATCAAAATGGCGGAACGGCCAGATTAAAATTGTGATTGGGAGAGCCCAAAGTGGTGGGAAGATTTGAGAGATGTGGTAGCGTCTATAGAGATTGGTATTCAGGCGTTACCTCTGTTGTTGGACATACAACGTAATGGGAAGGGTTACCCTGCCACACCATACGTAGATAAACTAAAGGCGTAGCGCATGTATTTCGTTTTGAATATTTTCTTGTTGACTTGCTACGTTGTGTAGCGTATGTAGGTACCTACTTAGCATGTGTTGTCAGGTGCGGTGTTAAGATTGTTTGGCTGAGCTGTGATGAAGTTATAAACCCATATGCTGGTACTTCCAGTATTCTCTGAATAATAAATCTCGATATATTGTACGGGACTTTTGCTATTGCTGATCTTTACTCTTCAGGTTCGCTATGCAATCCCCTCAAAGACGTGAACCAGTCTCTCTCAACCAACCATTACATCTCCGGGCATTCCCGGCTTTGCCCGGTTGGCCTAATCATTCTTCCCCTCACTTATACTCACTCTTAAACCAGATCATGACTTTCTCATCACCTTTTCACATCACACACCACCCATTATTACCCCCAATACCCACCATCACAATGCCCGACCCCTCCCTCACCGGCGTCAAAGCCCTCACCTTCGACATCTTCGGCACAGTAGTAAACTGGCGCCCTCACATCATCTCCACCCTCCGTACTCTAGCCCCTCCAGCCTTCAAAGAAGTAGACTGGCCCCTCTTCGCCGTCAAATGGCGCCTCTCCCACGGCAAGTTCTGCGGCTCCTACCTCCCCTCCCCTTCCAATCCCTTTAAAACAACCGACTCCCACCACCGTGACTCCCTCCCCGCCCTCCTCACCGAATTCTCCCTCCCCCCCGACACCTTCTCCCCCTCCCAAATCGAGCTCCTAGTCCAAACCTGGCACGAGCTCACACCATGGCCCGATTCCGCTGCCGGGATCGCCAGACTGAGAAAGAGGTTCAAGACGGCCATGTTATCTGACGGGAACAAGTCATGCTTGGAGGATCTGAACAGAAACGGCCACCTGGGATATGACGAGATTTGCTCCTCGGAGGACTTCAAAGCTTACAAACCTCACCCGAGCGTCTACCTCGGAGCATGCCAAAAGCTAGGCCTGGAGCCAAAAGAAGTGGCCATGGCGGCAGCTCACCTAGGAGATCTAGCCGCCGCACACAAACTTAGCTTCAAAACCGTCTACGTCGAGCGTCCAGACGAAGAGAGATGGGGTCTCGACGAGGAGAGATACGAGAAAGCAAAAGAGTGGGTGGATCTCTGGGTTGGGCTTGACGACGGAAAGGGTGGGTTGGAGGAGGTGGCGAATAGGTTGGTTGGGGAGGAAGAGTAAAAGTGATGTGGGATGTGATATGACAGACGGCGTTGTACTGTGCTAAAAGCGGCTCGTCGGGAGCTCCCATGTCGGATCACAGGCTCACAGGCCAGCCCCTGAGACGATGGACTCTTGATTTATGCGTCCCCGCATTAACAGCTGGTCCCGTGAGCTACCCAAGGAGGGATATATCCTTGTTTGGTTGGGGAGGGATATGTCATATATGATACTCGTGAGGACAAACATACTGACAGCTCTCATTCAACAACAGTTAGCAGAATTCAGTCTCAAAGAAATCAGAGCCCAATGCTCAGGAATCTGGGGCAAAGCAAAGTATCCAAAGAGGCTCCCGCCATCTGCACTTAGTGTTACACTTGGTCGTCCTGCAACAGGGTAGACCGATTATCGTGAGTGTACAGACGTACAGCAGGAGGCGTTAGACTTGATAGAAAGGCCCACACATTTATTGAGGGAAAGCCCACCCGACAGCAGCGGATGATGGCCCCGTTTGAACAAGCAGGCTGCACGTGGGATAGAGTGTGTGACGGGGAAGCAGCAGTGTAGATGCAGATAGTTCGACGCCGCATAGTTCCGCTGTCTGCATGGAATCGAAGCTAGGGAAGCGGGGAGGGAGCTTACCGCTGTAAGTTGGCAATCTATTTGTTTTGTGCCACGATCTCGTGTCTGTCTGGACATGTTGCCGCCCCGAGGCATGTACACGCGGACAGCCCTGGGCGAAAGGGCTTTCTCCCGGGCCGAGCGACGAGACCGGCTGCTGTTAGGTATGGGGGTGTCACGGTCCGTATAAAGGCCGCCGTAGAGGTAGACGTGAGATCGCCGTGACCACCGTGTCGTCCCGGCGATCTTGCCGTTCTTTGTTGCAAAAGTCACAAACTTATGGGCGCCAACCTCGGATCGATCTCAACCGTTTGCTTGCCGCAAGATTCGTCGACACAGCCGTAGAGCGCGGCTAATCGTCTGGACTTGTCTGCTCGCAAGAGAACCCGATGTCGGTGGCAACCCAATTGGAGGGGGAAAAGAAGACAAAGCGGCACGGATTCCATGTTGGGGATTGGTTGAGAGTACCGGTTTTGTTCCAGAGACCTGGAGAATGTAGTGAGTGAGGAGAGAGGTTGTCCCGCAATCATCCCGCCGTCAAAGTATCCAATACATTGGATTGCATGGGTCGGGGCTGCGGGCAACCGCCTGGTCATCTGCATCTGCAAGCTTACACACCTCGATAGCGAGCGAGAGGCTGACAAGTTGAAGCTGCCGAGGTGCTCTATGCTCTGCTGCCCTGCAGACTCGAGGCCACGGCAATGCTGTGCTGGCCGCAGGAAGGGAAGGTTGAGGGCCGCAGCATGTTGCGCCAACGGGTCGGCACCAGCATCCGGGCTGTTGTATTCCTAAGAAGTTTGAATCTCACGACTGTTTTACCCACACTTTGTCCCCGGCTGGTAATGGGGGGGGGGATTGGCATATGTCTAACGTCTTTAGCCCTGATGCCGGCCCGGCTTAGCAATTGCGAATGCCGGCCAGCCAAGGGCGAGAGTTCTCGGGGTGAGGTCTGTCTGACGGTTCTTGGCGAGATGTCATGTTCTGCAATCTGTCTTGCATCGGAACACAGGCCTGGCCCAGGCGGTCGAGCGAAGACAGGACCGCTCGCCTTGCGGGCAGCCAGTGGTGGAGAGTGGGGCACTCTAGTGGTAGGCGGGAGTGCGCTCGTGCCAGTCCGAGGCACCTGCGTCTGCACCTCAGAGAGGTCACTGACATTGAATCTCGGTCCTCCAACATCAGGACTGTGTGCCGTGAATGGATTGAGTTAAGGTCGGGTAGGAGAGGAAAGGTCCAGTTTACCTTTGTTTACCTTTCCCAGCCTCAGCTCAACGGACCCGCCGGATGTACTTGTTTGGCGAGATATCCAGGTCCCTCATATGCTGGTTGTCCATCATGGGGCCCATGGGATATGGGGTCAGGCCACTGAGTCTTTGTTGACAGGTATTGCCCAAGGCAGTGTGGTGATCTGGAACCTCCAGGTATTTGGAGAGAGAGGTTCCAGGTTGCTTGTGATTTTCTTATTAAGCTGTTCTTGAGGGGTATTACTGCTACCCCATGCCGGTTTCCATCAAAACTTCCCCGATTGCCCGCGGCCTCAGAAGAACTCGGTAGAAAAATAATCTTTTTGTCTTTTCAAGATCAAGATTTATCTCTCTCTCAGACCCGGGACCTTACCACGCGGATCTGAAGCCTCCAGCCGCGAGTGTCCAGGGTGGCCAAAGAGTTGGTCCCGATATCCCATCGAGCCATCCCACCCTAAAGCGTTAGGGGACTCCAAAAAAGCAAAGCCGCCCACTTCCGCCCGCATCTGTCCACCAGAGAACTCCAATACTTTTTGCTCCACCGCCGCCCTCCCTATTCTATTGCTCGGTGCTCCATACTCAACACTGCCAGCCCACCGCCGTCCTGTTACCCGTAGCTGCTGGTATCTATCCTCTCTTCTCCCAACTGCACACTCGAGTTCTTGTCTTTGAAAAGACTTTCCCCGCCTGCGTTTTTTTGCCGTCCCGAGCCGGAGCATCTATCTACCTCTTCGTATACACTTGCTTCACTATCCACTGCGTACTTCACTACCTACCTACCATCTACCCTTCACCACAACCACCACCCGAACTCTCAGGCAACGCAGCGCACGCACGCACTTACTACACCACCATCATCCGTAACGCACGCACCAATCCCCGTCAACTACCTACCGTGGCAACGACCTCTTCTCGAGTCCTTGTTTTCCGTGCCTTTAGTGCTGCGTCTCTCCCGTCGGTCGCCCCTCTCCATCGGCCCAGTTCTAAGCTGCGCGACTAGCTCCGCCCGGTGCCGGTGCACTTCTCTTCCGCCAAAATCCATCGCACCACCAAACCCACCCAGCCTTGCTCCGTTTCCACCCACGCATCCCCTTCTCGTTCGATAGCCTCGCACCACCCCCGAGAACTCTGCTAACCACGACTACATCCCAATACTACATTCGCAACAATGGCGGGCAAAATGGTACTATACAAACTGGTGGTGCTGGGGGACGGTGGCGTGGGGAAGACCGCTCTTACTATCCAACTCTGCTTGCAACACTTCGTCGAGACAGTATGTTTTGTTTTTGTCTTGTTCCCCCTCCCTTGTGCCATCTTGGACTAACCTATAATCTTCCCTTCCTAGTATGACCCTACTATTGAGGACTCGTACCGAAAGCAAGCCGTAATTGACAACCAAGCCTGCATGCTCGAGGTGTTGGACACGGCGGGGCAGGAAGAGTACACAGCGCTGCGAGACCAGTGGATCCGAGACGGCGAGGGCTTTATCCTAGTGTACAGCATCTCGTCCCGCTCGTCCTTCACGCGCATCAAGAGGTTCCACCGCCAGATCCAAAGAGTAAAAGAGTCGACGGCCTCGTCGCCTTCATACCCAGGGTCACCTATCTCGGCGGCTAACCCGGCGGCACCCGTGCCAATCATGCTTGTGGGGAACAAGAGCGACCGTATTGCGGAACGCGAGGTATCTACACAGGAAGGGCACGCTCTGGCGCGCGAGTTGGGATGCGAGTTTGTCGAGGCGTCGGCCAAGAACTATATCAACGTGGACAAGGCCTTTTACGATGTGGTTAGAATTCTCCGGAGACAGCGCCAGGCCGCTTCCCAGCCCCTCTCGCCAACCGGCAGCAGCAAGTACGAATCAAGGAGGGCCGATTCGACCATCCAGTCCAAGGAAAGCCGATACCGACGCACACAAAGCGAGCGCCGCAGGGGGTGTGTCATATTATGAGCGGCTTCCTTCGGTCCCTCGCCTCGCCGCCACTCAGTCATATTCTCCCTTCTGGCAACCGACGTCTTGAATACACAACACCCCCGTGTTCTTGGCAGCCGGGTTTGCGCGAAATTTTGGGCTCGATATGCACGCTGGCCATTTTTTTCGCAAAGCTTTTTTTACGAAAACTAATATGCATCTGGATTTTAATTTTGGCAGCTTGCGATTCGTCGTCTTTATCTCTTCTTTCCGAATTCCTCGGCATCTTGTTGCTCAATTTTCGACAACCATTTCCCGCAGCAATCGAATTCAACCATTACCCATTTCACCGACACGGCGAATGGCGCATTAAATCAAAAGAGGGCATCATTGGGGCGTAAATATCCATTTCGTTTCTTTCGACAAAGGGGGAGAGGGTGTGGGGGGAGAGGTGCGGGTTCATTCTCTTTTTTATCGCCAAACCAAATCTTGAGAATATCTCTTTTTTCGGGCAAGCCGCTGCAGTTGCTTTATTTACGGAGTCATCAAGGAGGGAGCGTATGTCTATTCAACCCGAGGCATTGATGATGAAAGGATGATCTGGGAGGCATTGGATTCTAGGCCACAGTTTGGGGGAGGGATAGGTGGTGTAATACCTGCATTTTTCAGGGCCTACAGGATCAAATCATTTCTTTGGTAAAAATGGAAGGGGGCAATGACACAAAAATTGGGGAAGAAGAAGGGCAGGCGACTGGGTTTGCTACGAAGAAGAGAGAGAGAGAGGGAGAGAGAGAGCGAGATGGGAGGGGAAGAAGAGCGAGGCACATTGGGGCAACAGCAGATGAATGACACGACGGACATGGAATCACGATGATCTAAAAAGACGGCGATGGCGACGGAGGTGGTGATGCTTTTTTCTTTCTCCCTTTCCCCTCTGCCAATTCTTGGGGCCTGCCTTGCCTTTTACCACACATCATCCCACCTTACCCTTTTACCTGCTAAGTAGTTGCATAGCTCAAGAATACCCCAAGATAGTAGTAGCAAGGAAGCAAAATGAAGAAGTTAAAACAAACAATTTACATGTGCCTATTGTGCTGTGAGCTTCCATCCGAATCTCCCAAACAGGTCCATCCAAATGGGATTTGCCAACCCATGTCTGAATGCTCCGTTCACGGACCCTCGAATATGCAGAACACAAACAGGGCGATTTCCAAACAGCTTTGAAGTATGGCTCTCTACGACGTTGTTTGCCGGTACTCTTCGGGACTATCACCCGCAAATACCGGCTCTCTCTGTCGTATGTGCCTATGTCGTGTTGTTGTTCGGTGGGTTTATTCCGGATCCGAACCCGAACCCATCCACAAAGAATCGAGGGAGTTTACGTACTTTGTACCAAGGGCGATGGATGGATGTATGTATGTATGTATGTATGCGTTGTTCACTCTAGATCCAAGGAGAGTAGGGAGGCTGGGGATGACAAGGTATCGTACTCAATACACCAACTATCAAGCTCTAACGCTGAGAACACGGTGAGCAAAGTGAGCACCACCACGATATGTCGATAGCAACGTTCAAACCTCGACAAAGATCAGAATAAAAAATCACATTCAAAATGTAACGCTCCGAAGGTGAGCTTTCTCACCTCACCTCGGAAGCACCTTCCAAGACTTGAGTATAGTGGGGTTCGTGCACACACACGCCATGATGCGATGTGGCCCAAGCTCCCTTAGCTGCCCCACCGTTTTTACGCACAGATAATCAATCTCGAGAGACTTTCGAAAGCGCCAGAACAAAAATGTAACCTTGTTCCTGCTGGTTCCAAAATTTCAGGTGAACGGGTGGATTGCTTGCTTGGCTGCGGAGGAGTAAGACGGAGTAGTTTTATGGTTGATCTTTTACTTTCTTGGAGGAGGGAAAGGGATGGGATGGAAAGGAGATGGCAGTCGGTCGTCAAAAAAGTTGGCAGCTTGGCGCCGTGGCTGCTGAAAGCCTCAATCAAGGGAGGTTTGACGTTGACGTGCTGATGACGGGTACGGTACGCCAGGAGTCCAGCTTGGGTGCTGTCTTGATATCTCCCCAAAAGGGTCTTTTACAGCTGAGACATTGACACCATCTGACTGCTCTGGCGATAATCTAACTGGACGGTGTCAAATCTGAGAAAGGTGATGTCGAATCTGGACCTACAGAGACAACACACATCGTGGGGAGACACGTAGGTTGGTTGGTCGGTCAATAGAGATCCAGATGCCAAAAAAAATTGGCGATGGACTATCGAAAACTAACCTTTTATTTTATTTTTTTCCTCTTTTACCAATGAGCGGCAAAGATGGGCTTGCATTGACCGGTCAACGAACTGCAGCACCAGCCAGCCCGGCTAAATCGGTATACCTTCACAAGAAGGGTTGGGTGAGAAAGTAAGACAGCTGTTGGCATATCAAAGTGGAGGGTCGGCAACGGCATCAAGACCGTTGAAGGACGGAGAGACCCTTGTAAATGTCAGTGCCAAAAAAGTTGCTGATCACCTCTTTTCTCTCTGGGCCGAGATGCACGCAAAAGAGCCAAGATTGAATGTTACCCTCTCTCTTTTCCTGTCTCCATATCCCCTTTTTCTTCGACCATGGATCTTATTCCTTCAAATCATTCAACAGGTATTATCATCAGTCGATACCGACACCTCCGAACTTTTTCAACAACTAAAAAACTCCACTGACCCAGCAAACTCCCAAACATCCACTCCGGGTATCCCTCTCCGGTCCCCGGGGGGGCGGGACCACCGGCCTCCCGGCCCCTTGAACACATCCGGAAGGTCCCAACCTAATTATCTGATCTTCCCCTTTTCCATGGCCCCCCGTTAATGAAAATCCTCGGGCTTGAAGAGAAAAATCCCGAACCACCGGGATTCGCTCCGTGCTGGGGTGCTCCGTTCATTACTCCGTAAAGATTTTTAATTCGTCCTGTCTCTGGAGACCGGTGCCTCACCGCTGGAATATCTATGTCAAAGATTCCCCATAGCGCTACACAAAAGTTCAATACAGTACCGTGCTATGGAGCCCGCTCCCCCCGCCAACCTCTTGTGTTTCCACATGGGTTGTGTCAGAAAAGAGAAAGAAGGCAGGCCAGGCCATCAGGGTGCTTACTTTTAGATTTTTTTGGTAGCCAGAAAGAAAATCCACTTTCAACGTCGAGGAGGGATTCCGGGGGAGTGTCCGGTTGGTTGTGGGCAAGTGCCGGGTGTCCACTTTTTGGGGGGGGATATTTGGGAACTTGGGAAATTCCGGGAGGTTGGTGCTGGGACGGACAAGCGTGATGCGCCGCCAGCAAGGCTTTTTGGGGAATGAGGGATCGATGCAAGATCATATTTTTTTGGGGGGGGAGAGAGAGAGAGAGAGAGAGGGAACATTTGGGATGGCATCATTTCGGTACCTGACAGGTAAAAAAGATTGGGATGTGATTTACCCAAGGGACTACCCAAGGTGACCTGCCTGACGCGGTCACCGAGGGTGTTGACTCTCTCATGTGGGATGTTTGAAAGCGTTGGGCAGGAACAGGAACAATTTCGTCACAATCATCAGGGCAGGGCACGATACACACCAAAAGTGAAGAATCTTATCGTCCACGTGCGGGTTTGGCTGGATGGTGTAGGAAGGCACGGAAGTTTCGTGATGATTTTGAGAAGGTGCTTCCTCGACAAGCCCCCACGTTCGCGGGTGGTGGAAGGCTACCCAAGGTTTTGTCAAGCTGAATTGTGTGCTCTTTTTTCACGTTTCTTGCGCCATTAGTTTTTCATTATCAACATTTGATTATTTTCCCTCAATATCTCGACCGGTGTGATGGCGCAGATGTTTCGTTTCATCGCAAGTGGGAAAGATGGGGGAGGAGTTGCGATCTTGGTAAGGTTAAGCGAACGTGAACGCCTCACCTTGCTAGGTCCTTATCAACGCATACCGGGCTATAGATATCCCATTGATACCATTACCTTTCCTGACTTGGTTAAAGAGTCCTAGTTAACTAAGGTAGGCCCGTATACCAACCCTTATCCTCGCTTCCCTTATCCTTCAGGGTCCTCCAGCTCACCTTACCGGTCAGTTACAACAGCAGTTCCTTCCGGACAGATGGGGGTGGCATGGCCAAGACGGGAGGATTGGTGATATCTAACAACTTTCAGGGCAAGGACATGATGAAAGTATGCACGCTTTGACTCTTGAGGACCAAGCAGAGAGATAAAGAGCAATGCAGTTGGACCGGGGATGTCTTGCTTACAAGTAGATGAGGCGGACAGACGGGAAGTCTAGGGAAAGGCACAGCGGACCGCGATCCTTTCGAGGACGATCTTGATATCGAGATGGATAAGCCGCCGTTTTTAGCTCCCGTCTTGCGACCTAAGTTGGACTGGCCCAGCTGGGCGCTTCACGAAGGTAGGAGGACTGATGAGCTGGGTTGAGACAGTGGCAGGAGCAGTGTGATAAACGAGATAGGAAAAGTCCATCGCGGGTGTCAGTACACTCCGTCTTCATGTCTATACTAGGACATCGACCATGTAATTGTTGGGATACCGACTCTATGTTCGCATGATGGGAGGGTGCCGGGCATTGGGTCTGAGATCGACCGGCATATATAAGGTAATTTAGAGAATTTCACCGATGGTAAATCCATCTCTCGGGCTGATGGCATCTTAACCAGTCTGGTCCGAAGTCGGGGCCTGGTAGTCTTTGGAGTTATCATGTTGCCAGGACACTTTAATGTGCATGGCTGAGTTGGGCAGACTAATCCGGAAAATGGGATGGGCTTCTCATTGCTCACCGGCTTCATGCGGTAGGTACTAGAGGCGAGACAAGGTTATAAGTCAGTTGGTAAGTATAGGTAGTAGGTACATAACAGAAGAGTTCAAAGACTTCTGAAGCCTCTCAACACGCCCAAGATTTGGAACAACTAAGAACTAGCACAACAGAGACACCGTAAGATCGAGGTTTAACTCTGCCTGAATCAAAGCCATATTATCAAGGATAACAAAGCTATCAAACTGGGTAAAAGTATGATGT